TTGTAAACATAGTTTACCTTTTACCTTACAATTTAGTTAAACTTTGGAATTTGATAATATATATATATAAAAAATTTTAAAACCTATATTCAGGCGGTGTGAAAAAAAAACAAAAAAACAGATAATCTAATTTGTAAATAAAAATATATTTGAACAAACCGATAGCAAGGGAAACGAATTCAGTAAAAAAAAAAAAAAAAGAATAGACTAAAGACATCCGTGTCAGTCGAAAATAATCGGCACCATAATGACTAGTCAAAAGGAAAACACCAACAAAATAAATTAAGTAAAAACACAAAAGTGCTCAATACGCTAAATAGAGCAAAATCTAAAAAGAAGCTATTGAGCCAGAACCTACCTACTAAAGTTTCATCTAATGGATCTTCAGGATATTACTGGCTAGAGAGGGTAGGTCCAAACAACATTTTATTGGTAAACACCACCACCGTAAAATGATAAAATGAGCATAAGAACAAGACAAGGATAACAAAAGGGTAGATCAAAGACATTTTATTGAAAAGACGACCACAAAAAAAAAAAAACCTAAGATTTTCCTAGCCCTATTTTTCCCCCTGTTACATGCATATTTCATCCAAGTTTCTATAAGCAAGCTTGGTTTTATAGCCGCTATTCTTTTAATGCTATCTCATAATCATATTTGCTTTGGTTAAAGAGGTTAACATTAGATGAAAATAAAAATCCCTTATTAAATCAAAAGTGAATTAACAGTAAATTGTAAACATAGTTTACCTTTTACCTTACAATTTGGTTCTTTGTTGGAATATGATAATGCTTTTTTTCTCATTTACATTATTCGGACTATTGTCCTCATCTTTGTTGCCATATTTATCACAACATTTTGGTCGTTGTACGTTCTGGCCTTCTTCAGGTGGTTGGAATGTTGAACTGAACCCTTTATTTTGCTCGCTGGGGTAGACTGTTCTAGTTCCACATGTCATATCTAATGGATGTCAGTTATCAGTTATCTCCTGTTGATTCCCCTCTCCAAGTTCTCCACTGCCTTAACCAGGTATTGAACTCACACTCTTTGGGTCCTGACACATGGCACAGTGGATAAAGGGTTCAGTTTGACATTCCAACCACCTGAAGAAGGCCGGAGTGTACAACAGCCAGAACATTGTAATAAATATGGCGACAAAGATTAGGACAATAGTCTGAATAATGTAAATAATGTACATAATACCTCATCTCAGAAATATAGACAGATGCTTTTTTCTCATATTTTAGTTGTACTGCATTGCACCATATATGGCTTATCTTTCTATTTGTAAGATTAATTTGGATCTAATACAATTTTGAATTAATCTCCTGGTAGTATTAGTAACATCTTGTACAGTTGTATTGGTATTTGGTTGGTATTTTTGACATTTTACATTGATTGGTTAGTGTTATTAACATCTTATATGAAGAATCTTTATTCCCCAGTTGCATATTAATTTACCAAATAATTCTATACGTTTAAATTATTTACTAGTTTCTTAAAGAAGCTATTTATTTATCAACTATGAAAAATTTATGTAGGAAATTCAGAAAGCATTTAACTTGTTTAGCATTTTGTTAAATTACCTCTCCACCTCATTTTTATTTCTTGTTGTCTAGTTTGTATAATGTTTGTAACCATTTAGGTTCACTCTAGTTTATGTCTGGCTACCGTTAGCTGCCAATCTACAGGTTGTGACCCATGTATAAAAAATAATTTAATTTTTGCTTCTTCACTTAGTTTAAATTTAACATAGGTCATATTTCATTGGTTAATCAGAGTAAAGCCCACAAACCTTATAACACCCCTGCTTTTTCTTTTTTTATAAAAAGAGCTTGTATTTTGCTTTTAAATCTAAATAAATCATTCACTTGCCAGTAATTTAGAATTGCCTGATGAGATGCATTGATACACATCGAAACACGATTGCAGTTGTGTAGCAATTTTGACATGTTTTCAGTGTAATATCCTAAAATAAATATATATATATATATATATATATATATATAAAAACATGGAAAATTGTGTTAAAGGGAGATAACTGATGTGGAGACACCTGGTAGAGGCATGGCACATGGAACTAGAACAACCTGCACCAGAGGACAAATAAATGGTTCAGCTTGAAATTTCAATCACCTGAAGAAGGCTGGAGCATATAATGGCTGAATTGTAAATATGGCAACAAAGATGAAGACAACAGCCTGAATAATATATATATATATATATATATATATATATATATATATATATATATATATACACACACCTGTGTGTGTCTCAAAAAGGCCTACTAATATATATATATATATATATATATAAAATCAAATGGATAAATATAGATTAAATTAGTTTATATATATATATGTATGTGTATGTATAATTTATATTTCAGTTTCCATGCCTTATTATCTATATTTATTTGATTACATCATATATATATATATATATATATATATGTAATTAAATGGATAAATATATCATATATATATATATATATATATATATATGTAATTAAATGGATAAATATAGATTGCAGAAGGCATGAAACTGAACATAGGATATTGTGTATATTTTTCTAATTATACATACATACACACTGTATATTTTTCTAATTTTATATACACACACACACACATATATATATATATATATATAAAATCTTAAGAAACAGGAAGTCTAAAAACTAATTTGAATTACTGAAACAAAAACATATATCAGGATACTGCAAAATCAGGAGGGGAGGTAAAGCAAAATTAACTTCTAATTCATTCCAGACTTTTGCTATGTAAACATTAAGAGCAAACCAGAGAGAAAGTAGGACAAACAGTGGTAGAGACATTTTTGAGGACCTTTTCTCTTTTTTCTTATCAAACCAAATTTTGATAAAGACAAATGCTTTTCCGCTTTGTTGTTTTTTTCCTCCTTTCAATTACATGATCTCTTGATTTGATAACCCAGTTATAAAAATCCAAGTACACTGGCCTTGTACCATGATAAACAAAGCTTAGAAAAATGCAAAGGGAAGAAAAAAAAAGTCAAACCAATAATAAAAAAAATAAAATATTAATAAAAGTGAATGAATCTGAGAAAATAAAACCACTGAAGAGAGGTGTGGGGTCAGTAAAATAACCGGAATTTGGTAGACAGAAGATGACATTTGACATTGATCTTCAAAAATTCAAAATGTAAATGTTAATTGTCACTTTCTGTCCCCTCAATTTCCAATTTTCTGAACATCCTAATATTAATACTATGAGATATCAAATAATGCTAAAATCTTAAAATATGTCATTGCCAACAATATTATAAATTTGACTCCTAGACAATTTCCTCACAGATGAAGAGAAGAGTGAAAGCAACAGAAATATGGTTCAACAGAAGAATGCTGAGAATGCCATTGCCAAAGTTCATAAACAATGAGGAAAACGGAACCAAAAAGGACACCTAGAACCAGAATCTTGGACACATGAGGAAGGAGGACTTAGAGAATTTGGCACTAACAAGACATACTGAAGTCAAAAGGAACAATGGGATGACACTTCTTGAATAGCTGGTGTAGATGGTGAAAATTTGATGGGAAGGTGAAATTATGGTAGAAAGACAAGTGCTACAAAGAATAGGGAGGTTGTGGAGTCATAATCACCCATGTCCTGAAAGGGCACGACATATAGAAGAACCAAAAGGACTTTAATGATATTATAGACATTTTAATTCTAATTGCTTTTCATTGCAGACCAGTAAACGGCTGAGATAATAAATAAAAAAACAAGAGACTCAAAATCACATCCCTTGTCTGAGCAAGTCTGTCTTACAGTGATAGCTGCTTTTCCACATGAGCTACAAGAGCACTATCGGCAGCAAAAATTCTTATGTAACCAGAACTATTTTTCCAATTGCTCAGCACCATATTTGATATGGATTTTTATGCACATTAGTAGCAGTATTAGTAGTAATATTGTTTTTTTTTTTTTTAATCAAGTTCACTCCAAGCAAGGTAGTAAAGCCACTAAGACACAAGGTATTACTGGCTGTGGAAGAATTAGAAAACAGAAACATTACTAAAGAGCAAGAACAATAGAAGAGTAATCAGGAAAACAATAGACATTGCATTTAAATTTTTGAAGATTAAAGTTGGCTGGAAAGCATAAAGCTGCAAGGGAGTTCCACAAGCAAGTAAAGAAACTGTTCACATAGAACTTGCAGCTACATCTAGCCAGCTCGACTGTAAATTGATGAGATCTCGTTGCCAGTCTCCTACTATGCTTAAATTCATAAAGTATAGATATGATACAGAAGAGCTCATCCAAATAATTACGCTGAAAGTATTTATAGAAAAGGCACAGGGAGGCAACATTATAGTGGTGGGAAAGTGACTGAAGCCAAGATACCAGATCAGGACCAATAATATTGCTGATTCTTAGGATTTTATCAAGGATTTCTAGATATATAGCAGGAGCACCAGACCATATGTGACAGCAATATTCTAAGCATGGGTTAATGGTAGACTTACAGAGATGTTAGATAGATTCTGGAGAAAAAGAATTGATGAAGCATTGTCGACCATTGTTCATTTTTGACCAGGATTTCTTTCATCTTAATTTCCCTTGCTTTTTATTATATGAGTAGTATTAGTAGTAATATTATCTTGAATTTTATTATTATTAGATGAAGCATTGTCAGTTATTATTCATTTTTGACTAAAATTTCTTTCATCTTAATTTCACACCAAGAGGCACTCAGGACTTGTGTAACCAATATATTGTAGCAGCTACAAAGAGAACAATTAGTCATTATAAGCAACTAGCCAAATCTTTCAATTTTTACAGTTTTAAAATAATAGAATTTTTTATGAAAATTAAAAAATTAGCTTAGTTAAATATTTTATCTAAATATCACTCCATGATTCCCTATATACAATTGTTGATTGTTTTTTTTATTTTTCTGGCAACCCTTTGCAGGTTATTTAAAGCCAAAATATATTTCAGATTGTAGGAGCTTGCTTACAGTACATGATGTTCCCAAGCGGAACCCCCATTTAATTACTGACCAGGCTCAACACTGCTTAACTTCAGTAATCAAATGAAAACTGGTGTTTTCAGCATGATTTGACCATAAGCTACTATATACGAACATTGTCAGCCATTTAACAAATGATAAAAACAAATTCCTTTTTTTCTATCTTGATGTAATTAGTAGGTTGTGTTTATAACTTGTATTATTAAAATTATTTTTAATACATTAGGAAAATATGCAAAAATAAAGTCCCCATAAAATGAAGAATAACCTTGTATATTGTAATCAATTCACACAGAGAAAGAATACAGACATATTTTGAGTTTGTCAAAGGGAATAAAAACTAACATGATCACTTTACATATGTTTATATTTATCCAATAAAAATTTATCATCACTTAAGACTTATTGTTCCAAGGGTTTAATATCTGAATCCAATATAAGAGTATTAAATAGCTGTGCCACTCCAAGATTAAGTGTCTTGACATGTGTGATGCTGAGTTCCGCACATCTGTCACTGCACAACTGTGATGACATCCAATATCGGTTTTATGTGTATATACACCTGGCTATATTTATAGATCTGTCTCCTTGGCTGTGATTGAATTCAGCAAAGAATAATGACAAATAATTTTCAAGACACTAATTGGGAAATAACAAACAATACAGTTTTTCACTTAGCCATGGTATTGCCTTTCTTCAGCTTCGAGAAAGTGAACTGCTATCTTACTAACTTTCAGCCACAGAACCAGGAGCCTTACATTCACGAACCATCTAGGCAACTGATTCCTCACAGCTTGCTGGTCTCTTCCTGTCTCATATGGACACCAGTTGGGGTCCCACTGCCCCTGTCTATCCACTTGTGTTCCGAAAAAAGGAAACCACCCAAAAGCTGGATGGGTGAACAGTTTTTCAAAGGACTCTTACTTTTATGATAAAATCACTAACAAAATTTTATATTTGACAATTCAAAGGTAGGATGGAGACCCCTGAAAACTCTGGTGAATAAACTGACTTATGAACTGGAGACAAGGTTCCAAAGAAACTCTGGTGAATAAACTGACTTATGAACTGGAGACAAGGTTCCAAAGAAACTCTGGTGAATAAACTGACTTATGAACTGGAGACAAGGTTCCAAAGAAACTCTGGTGAATAAACTGACTTATGAACTGGAGACAAGGTTCCAAAGAAACTCTGGTGAATAAACTGACTTATGAACTGGAGACAAGGTTCCAAAGAAACTCTGGTGAATAAACTGACTTATGAACTGGAGACAAGGTTCCAAAGAAACCTGGTGAATAAACTGACTTATGAACTGGAGACAAGGTTCCTTATGAAAGACAAGGTTCAAAAACTCTGGTGAATAAACTGACTTATGAACTGGAGACAAGGTTCCAAAGAAACTCTGGTGAATAAACTGACTTATGAACTGGAGACAAGGTTCCAAAGAAACTCTGGGTGAATAAACTGACTTATGAACTGGAGACAAGGTTCCAAAGAAACTCTGGTGAATAAACTGACTTATGAACTGGAGACAAGGTTCCAAAGAAACTCTGGTGAATAAACCAAAGACCCAGAATTATGAACTGGAGACAAGGTTCCAAAGAAACTCTGGTGAATAAACTGACTTATGAACTGGAGACAAGGTTCCAAAGAAACTCTGGTGAATAAACTGACTTATGAACTGGAGACAATGTTCCAAAGAAACTCTGGTGAATAAACTGACTTAAGAGGGAAAAGAATCTATTTATCTCCTAAGAATGTGTGAAAAATCATATTGTTACATATGGTGTAGTGGCTTGCATGCTCCTGTGACCCCAGAGAGCTACAATGGTCAGGACCTAATGGGAAGTTCAACCTAGACAGATAGATCAATAGGGAGGAGCTAGAAAAACCTTACTCACCTTGAGGAGCAAACCTCAATAAGAAAAAAAACCTGAAGCAGAAAGCAACTCTTCAATGATATCGATAGACAAGCATCAACAGACCAATAGATTGGCTTTATATGTAGGGATTGATGTTGAGCAAATGACACAGTGGGCGGCATTAGTATGGATCAACTAGTTCTTGTTAGATGAATACTATAGTTGCTAGAAGTATTTGTCACTAAGAGTACTGAATTATAGTTACAATGTAAGCATGAAAGCAGTTGAAAAAAAAAAAAAAAAAAAAATGAAGCAGGTAACAAGTCTCCAGTTGCATAGATAGCCAAGCATCAGCAGATTGATACATTGGCTTCATATGCAGGGATCAATGATGGATGGTAAGTGACAGCTGCAATACCACAGATCAATCAGTTCTTGTTAGATGATTACTGCAGTTGCTAGGAGTTGTGACCACAAGTACTGAACCATACTATTACTATTTTTACTTTATTGCCCTGGCCTAGGGATACCTCATTTTTTTAAAGGGGGGGGTGTACTACCTGGCTCAGGGATTGAAGAAACAATACATAAAATTCATGAACAGAAATTTGGAAGTCAAAA